TTCTGTAAATGGTTTATGGCCCGCCACAACTATTTGTACGCCATTATTGTAGAATTTGAAGCACTGATAAAGAGTCGATGGAATGACACCATTACTATGTATCCAAGGCCTTCATAACAACAAATTGTAAGACGTCTTTGCATCAATAACATGGAATAAGGTTTCAGCTTGGAGCTCGCCAATAATTAGTTTTGCCCGAATCATGCCAATAGCTCTCTGTCTTCATTGGTTAAAACCTTGAATAACAAGACGGCTATGAGATAACTCGTCGACTGTGATGCCAAGATTTTTCATCGTAAATTTTGGCATGAGATTCATCGCTGATCCACCATCAACAAGAATTCGAGTAACTCTTTGTTCCTTTATGTAACCAGAAACGAAAAGAGGACAATTGTGCGGCTTCGAACCCAACTGAAGATCTTCGTCAAAGAAAATATTTGGTGCATAACATGAATCCAGCGTACCTCCAACTACTTCATCATCATCGGACTTTTCAATGAGGCAGCATCCTTGGCATGATTCTCCACAGTCTGGGCTTCATCTTGATCCTTGCTATTCTCACCATCAGGGCCCGTTTTAGTTGAAACCATGTAAGCTGTCACAACTTCGTCATCTAGATATCCGTCTGGAAAGAACTCTTGCAAAGTAATAGGCTTCTGGATCCTTTGGCTAATAGAGGCGTGTTTGGTTGACTGTGTCTTCTTGACCCATTTTTTGTTATGGCCAGACTGCTTATGGCGATATTGAGGTTTCTTCTTCCTTTGCCCCTTGTCAGAAAAACTAGTCTGAAAAATGTCAGCTTATTGCTTTCGTGGTTTCTTTCTTGTCACCAAAGTCCATCCTTCTTCATCATCCTGAGGAAAGACCCTTCCAAAGGTTGAAACGTCAAGTGCACTCCCTTTGCCAAGAGAGATGGGGATTGGTTCCAATGAGCCAAACTGGATGGTTGTGCAATATATCTCAGAAGTTGAAGGTTGAGAATGAGCACTCTCCACGACAGAGGTTGTCACAGTAGCAGTAGTATGATTTGAAGTTACAACTTCGTCCGTGTCTAATAAGATTTTTCCTTATTTTGCCAGGTTCATCACCACCTCCTTGAAGATAAAACACTTCTCAATTGGATGACTAACAATACGATGATATTTGCAGTATTTTGGATCATTGACACGTCCCATCTCTTGAGGGCGTTTGCATTCAGGGAGTTCTATAACTTTACTTTCGAGTAAACATTCCAAGATACCAAGGACATTGGAATCGGGGAAGGGGTATTCCTTCTTCTCTAACTTCTTTAGCATAGGACGCTGTCTTTCCCTCTCTTGAAACTAGCGAGGCTTTTTATCATCCTTCTTATTATCTTTAACAGATATTTTGATTGGGGTTGTTGAGATAGCAATGGAATCTTTAGCAGCGGTCTTTGACGACTTATCGCCCTTCTTCCAGTCTTTCTTATCCTTGCGTGGTTCTATGGCCACGGGACTTTTGCCTTCATAGGATTTCATACTGATCTCTATGTCATGGGCACGTGTTGCCAATTCTTCAAATGTGCGAGGTTTTATACCTTGCAGAATGTAAAGAAGGCCCCAATGCATTCCCTACATACACATCTCCACAGCAGAGATTTCTGACAATCGGTCATTGCAGTCAAGACTGAGTGCTCTCCACCGATTAATGTAGTCGATTATAGGTTCATCCTTCCATTGCTTCGTGTTAGTCAACTCTATTATACTAACAGTACAACGAGTGCTATAGAACCTGTTCAAGAATTCTCGTTCCATTTGGTCCCAACTATCAATTGACTCTGACTTTAGGTCGGTGTACCACTCGAACACGTTTTCTTTAAGGGAGCAGACAAACTGTTTAACTAGTAAGTCCCCCTCTGTTCTGGCATTGTTACAAGTCTCGACAAAATGGGCAATGTTTTGCTTGGGGTTACCTTTTCCGTCAAATTGCTGAATCTTCGGAGGTTGGTATCCTACATGCATCCTCATACTGTCGATTCTCCTTATATAGGGCTCTGAGTACATGAGAGTGCTCTGTGAGACGCCTCCATATTGGGCTCGGATTGTATTCGTTATCATATCTTGCAATTGTGCGACAGATAATGAACAGACTGAAGAAACATGATTGGTTTGACTAGCTGCCTGTTCTGTCACCGGCATCTGGTTTTGACTAGCCACCTGTTCTGTCACCGGCGTCTGTTTAGGGTCCTCCATACGAGTACCTTGTGCGGTAGAATTAAGATTCTTTGTCGGCATTGCTGTGGAAGATGTAGGATTCCCAGACGGTGGTGGTTTGAAAATTGCACGATCCCCGTTGGCGGTGTTAAAATTGCACGATTCCCCGTTGGCGGTGTTGTGGAAGATATAGAATACCCAAATTGTACTGGTGATTTACCGAAGGTTTGAACTTCCAATTTGTTCATCAGCGTAGCGATTTGTAAGTCCTTTTCTTCAACAGTCTTTGTGAGGTTCTCAATGGCACGAGACATAGTTGCTAGTTATTCCTCCACCGTAGCAGCTCCAGTCATCATAGCAGCGACCATATCTGAGTATGATAGGCCTTGAGAGTCAACGTTTCTTAAAGTGATTGAATACTCCGAAGTCTGACGTGGTGACTCTGGGGGTGAACCGACACTAGAGCGAGTAACATGGATGGAATGAGGTGAATCTGGTGGTGGAATCTCCTCTGGAACAACGTCAGGGTTCTTGACATGTTCGGTTTTCACGTTTGCCGGCTTTGCAGGATTGGTTTTCACCAAGTCTTGCTGATGTTTGGATGAAGCCATCGCCTGGGACTTACTACGTGTCACAGGGCCCGCCAAGGTACTTCCATCACTTGAATTGGCCTTCATGCCACTTTTCATGGTGGCTTTGGCGTCAACCTTTGTGGTAGCAATGTTCTTTTAGGCTTTCTTGTCTGTCTGAGTCTTAGGGGGAGTCATAGAGTTGGATAGAGAAGAAACTTGCTCATAGGATAAAGAGATTAGAGGCAAAGGAGGTCCACCGGGCGTGCCAAAAATTTGTATACACAAATTTTGTACTCTGCAATAAAGACAAAATATGGGCAAAATAATAATTTATTAAATCAGAATTATTTGGAGTACAATCCTTTGTGATATCTTTTAAAAAAAGAATGGTCTTCTGATTTGATCTCCTTTTTGTTGTTGGTTGGATCCAAGGGCTGCACGAGCTTGTTCTTGAATCACCGTGAAATTTGATGAAGAACGGCACGTCGTTGGATGTGCTTGTTGTCGATCACCGTGGGATTTGATGAAAAACGGCACGTCGTTGGATGTGCTTGTTGTCGATCACCGTGGGATTTGATGAAGAACGGCACGTTAATAGATGTGCTTGATGTTCTTTGTTTTTGAGTTTGGATTCTAAATTTGTGTCTCTGACTTCTAAGTCTCTGGATTTCTGAGTCTCTGGACTTCTGAATTCTGAATTTGTGTCCCCCTCTCCCTTCCCCAGGCCTCTATTTATAGGCTTCTTGGATCCATAGGATGATGACACGTGTCCTCTCTGATAAGGAAAATATCATAACTGGGCCGGACCGATTATATTATGTTAATTATTCTTAAAAATAATTATTCCAAATATATTTTATTAGGAATAATTATTCTTTTTTTTATTTAACCATCTGGACCAGGCTTAATTAAATAATTTAAGTAGACCAAACTTGGGCCAATTAAATAACTTAACTAAACATTAGGCCCATATTTAAGGGGTCCATTTGTCCAAATCAACGTCCACTAAAATTTTAGTGTCTACACCCCTCCATCAGCCGACTGACACGCCTATAGTAGCAAGTCCTGAGAGCATTCATCTTTGGCAACCGTTTCAGCCGACTAACCATGTAGGTCAGCCGGCCGACCAAGGGCTACAAGCCGACTGACCCTCCCTTCTTGACCTGTATATTTGACCCCCTCGTAAAACTGTGATCTCGAAGTATTTTGAGCCCTGGAGTGACTCGTGTGTCCAGTATTGACGTAGATAAGATAGTGTTGACCATAGTAAATCTTGAGTCCGGGTAAGGACCCGGTTAACGGTTTGGACCTTCGAATTCGGGTTGGTACAATTTCCAAAGTTCGAAAATACATATCACAACTCAGTTAGTTCAACATTTTGTGGGATTTGTTTAATTATTCACGCCTATTGTTAGATGACATTGATGTTAATTGAACAATCTGCCTTCAACAATAAAATATTTGTATCATTTTGTGTTTAATTGAAAGTATGCATTCAATTTTGTATTCCATCAAAAATAATATTATTTATGTGCTATGTCTAACATTAAATTTTTTATTCGACCAATAATAATATTATTTGTAGGCCACATCTAACATTAAGGAGACTTAAATTCATAATTTAACTAGTTATCTAAATTGAAATTTTACAAGTCATCATCATATGCCATATTGAAATAGCAATTTTATATGGAAATATAAATATTAAAAACTATAGTCAACAGTTTGTCGTTAGTAAGCAAAATAAGCTAACATGGAGTGAAAAAAATCTAAGTTGGATTATGCTTATGTTTTTTAGCATGTCTATGTAAATTATTTATTTAATTTATTTGCCTAATGTTTAATATTTAGATTAGAAAGTCACATTACCTAAATATAAATCTTAACTTTGCGCCCATTTTTATATGTCATCAATATTAACTGAACAATATGTCTTAAATAATAAAATATTCGTATCATGTGTCTTAATTGAAACTATAACTTGAAATCTTTATTCCATTGACAATAATATTATTTGTATGCTAAATCTAGTATTAGAGAAAGTTAAATTAATAATTCAACCACCTTATTTAAATTGAGATTTTACAAAACATCTCATCTATATAAACATTAAAAACTTAATTCAATAGTAACTAAAATAAGTTACCCCAACTGAAATTTGGATTAGGCTTAGTATGTCCTTGTAAATTACTCCTATTTATTTATTTTTTTTTTTTTGGCCTAAAGTTTAAAATTTTAACTTAACTCTTAAGATAACCAACCGACTGCCAAACAAATAAACCCAGGCCACGCACAACCCAAAAATCTTCCACGACCTTGCTATCGCCGGCTTCACAGTTCACACCGAGTAACCGACAACGAACCGACTTCTAAGTAATCAACCACAGATTCATCAATTTTTCAAATTCGGTAAGATTTATTTCAATTTTTAGGTTTTGTTAATGTTCTTCGGTTGGTAATTCAGATGTCTTTTGGGATACTGTTGGTTGTGCTTTACATGTTTTGGGGTTGTAATCGGGTATTCAGTGTTTTGGGGATGGTTTAATTGTTGGTTTGGTTTTGAAGATACTATGTTTTGAGCTTTTTTTCGAATTTCTTCTCTCATTGTCTGTTTAAGAAAATCAGGACTTGGTTTGGCCAATTACATGACCAATATTTTTGTTCTTGCTTGTGTTTTTATTTGATAAAGGTGTCTTTGTTAACTAAAATTATATTTTTTTTTGTTCCTGCTTGTGTTTTTAGTTTATGCGGTTTCGTCGCTACGTTGTTTTTTCTGTATATTTCTTTTTAATTCAAGATTTTAGCTGATTTTTGTATGTTTATCTGCTGTATATCTATTCTCCCTTTATATCTATATCAACTCCCTTCAAATTATTTCTTGGTTTGAGTTATTTGTGGTACTATTATTTGATTTTATTTATTTATTTATTTAATTTTTGTCGCGTTGTCTGTATATTTATTATCTATGTATATAATTAATTACGTAAAGATGAAGTCATTATACCTTTCACTTTCATACTGTGGTAGCCCAGCATAAATTAATTTTGACATTATTACAAACGCAGAATTACCTTTTTAAAACTTTAGGTGTGATTCATGTAAGTTTACATGATTGACCAGCGTTATGTCCTTGGTGTATATGTGGTCAATGATATTGCGCTTTGATTAATTGTTTTGAATGATGAAAATAAAATAGGGGCAAGTGCGATTTAGAGACTTTTGGGGAGGGGTTCTTGAATCAATAGGATTCAAACTTATTATAGGGGACATATTCTAGGAAAAAGTAAAAATACAAATGGGAATGTAATGAAGAACAAGGGTCAAGAGATTAACTTAATACAGCCTTTTTCGACTTCTCTGGGTCGTGAATCTTGTCTTGCCATTCTGCTCTAACGCCAATAACTTCATCAAACCACATGCTATCTTGTCTTTCCTTTACTCTTTTATATGGATACTTGACTCTTCTTTATTGGTGCAATTGTTGGTCATATAAAAGTATTCTGACTACCACAAATTTCTTGTGAATGACCATGTATCCTTCAAATTCTCTGTCCTTGTATAGAATTTTAAAAGTGCACATGATTGTTTTTTAAAGTAACATTTGAGTAATGTAACATGGCTTTAATCTCAATACACTACACACTGCACAAAATTTCATGGTTATCTTCTATTGAACAACCATATTATGGTGTTGTATCTGCATTTGTCACTGCAAAAATTGACATGTTTATCAGTCACTGTAACTTTGGAATTTGGGCATAATATGATCTCTTCTTCTAGTAGATATGTCATATGATGCTGTTGCTTCACCTGTAATGTAATTATTCAGCCTTTGATCTTGGTTTGCAGAATGAATAAACTCGTATAAACAACAAGATGGACATAAAAGCATACCTTAACAGATCTATCAAGGAGAACATAGTTCGACAGGAAATATGTGATGCTAGGCAAGTACCTTGCTTTCCAGCTTCCTCATATTCACCCATATGTATGACAAATTCAGCTCTGGGGATGTCCCTCGGCTTTCAAGACCCAAGTTCACTATCCCCTACATTTGATTGCTTTGTGACTCCCAGAATCGGACCTAATACATTGAGGACCATCAATGCTTGTGAACGCGACTTCTTTGAAGGTGAGTCATTCTTTATGAGTAAAGGCTGAAAATTCTTGTAATAGATTGTTCTACATATATTTGCACATTTTGGTTGAATGAAAACCTAATTTGATTCTCTATAATTCCCCAACTTGCAAGATTATATGAACATCACAAACATTGTCAAATATTACTAAACAATTGACAAAATATTCTTCTTCTTTTTCTACATTTGGACAACATATTCTTCTTCTTTATCTACATTTGCTCCCACGGACATTATTTTTTGACATTTTCTTTTTTCCTGAATATTTATTCATATATCACCTTGCTGGTCCCATACAATTAAGCATTTTAAATTTCCAAAGTTTCCAAATAACTCCTTACACCATAAAACCCCTGAAACCCGAAGCATGTCCTGAAATTGTCTATCTGGACAAAGGGTTGACATTTTGGCTCATTTTACCAGAATCTGGCAAAAACAATTCCTTCAAAATTTGGTTGACTTAACTCAGATGTTCTATTTGACTCCCTGTAGTAGGTTAAAATTGGGATTGGTGTCACCTTTGCCTTGCAGACGTGCCATCAATATTTTATGGAGTCTCTGGCTGAGATTGTATCTTCCATTCTCCACATGCCCAATTCTTTTTATCTTATATGCTCTCTTTACTTTTTCTTCTTGGCCAGGTGAATTGAACTACTCACACTATAGAGGTTTCATGGAGAATGATCACAATGTTTGTGATGTGGGTTTTGCATTACCGCAGGAGCAAAAATTGGAGTTTCCTTATTCAAATTTGCAGAACTCAGGACAGGGTACACAGTGGATTACTGAAGTCTCTGATATTTTGAATAATCTGATCTACAATCCTCCTAGATCAACGATTGAGGATTTACTGCAATTTCAGCTGTTGATGCCAAGGTCTAAAGAGTTTCATCAGTGGCACCATCAGCCTTATGTGCAACTTGATAAGCTGTGTGAGGCCCAGTCACAGTGTTACCTGGCTGAAGACGAAAAATGTTGTAATGAAACAGCAGGGCAAGAGGCATCTAAGCTGCCTGAGCTCCATTCAGAACAATCTCATGGTATTACTGGTGAACTTTACCAGGGATCTAGAAAACCAAATAATGGTCTCAAAAGGACTTTGTCTGATGGAGATCTTAGTGACACCAACTCTATCATTACAGAAGATGTTCTACCTCCTTCAAAATGTCTGAAGACAGAAAATTTTGATTCCTTTGAAAGTGGAGTTTGTCATGCAGTTGATCCTGCAATTAATCAACCTTATGCATTTGAACAACTTTCATGCATGATGCAACAGCATGAAACTCCAGTAGCTGATAGTTCAGTTGTGATGGAGGTGGACACGGAACTTCTAACTCCCATACAAGGCCCCTCAAGAACTAGTGTAACTTGGAATGATGCCTCAGATACTGCTCAGAGCTTGGACTTCAAGAGTACACCTATTCCTGCTGAAGAGTTTATTGGGGGTTGTAGACAAAGTGAGATAGAGGGTACATGCATAAGTGATAAAAGAAATGCTGTCGCAGAAAATTGTCACTCGGAAGAGCCCCTTGATAGTCATAAAGAGGAGGAGATACAAGTGAGGACCATGTTCGACCAGGCCAGCCCAGAAACAGAAGGTGATTTAATTGCCCCTACAGCCGATAATGAGTCTGCAAAGAAGTCAGAGGAACCAAATATACCAGTCGTGTCTTTTGCTGATTTTTTCACAGCAGAGCAAATAAAGGAGCATATCTCCAGTCTTAGGCAGTGTAATAATCAGGTTTGTAGATCAATGTTGAATTGCTGTTATTGGGTGATTTACTTTCACTTTATTACTTCTGATTATATACTCCTTAAAATGGTTTGTTGATGTAACAAGATTATAGATGTTATATACTCTTAAGTTTAAGTTGTTAGGGAGAGTGTAACTTAAGTATTTTATATACTCAACACGCTGCTCTAAAAGCTTAAATTGTTTGAGCTGGTGTAATTTAAGTATTTGTATACTTTGAAATTTATTTAGCTTGAGATGAAGTTATAGTACTTGCATAAGTTTGCTTCATTCTGCACTGGAAACAAAATACATTATTTTGGTTCATTGGCCAATCGGCTATCTTAGTGTTACTGGGGGACTTAGTTCTTCAACGCGAAGTTCCAATATCTGGTTTTTTTTTTTTTTTTTCCATCATGCAAATGAAATTAGAAAGTGTGTGGATATTTGACTAGAAAACTTACTTAAATTGCTCCTGTTAAATGAAGTGAAATTTTCTTAAAACTTCGACTTATTTGATCGATTTCTTGCAAAATAGGCTTGCGGATTGGAGTGTATACTGCAGTGATTTTTTATACAACCAACAATTTTGTGCCATTAATGCTCTCTCTCTCTCTCCCTTATATAGAGGGAGAGAGATATAACTTTTGTTCTAACGATGCATGTAATATTGACTTGCCTAAACACGATCTGATGTAAATGACTATTATTGCGATGCATTCCATTTGAAACAGAGTATCATGAAGGAAGCATCAGAAAATACAATCGCACATTCTGTTGGTGAAGGCTCGTGCCAGTTGTGTGCCATGGGAAAGCTTGCGTTCGCTCCGGCACCTAAGTATTGCTCAACTTGCGGAGCTCGTATAAAACCCAGTTTGTTTTATTATCACGGGCTGGATGAAAAGGGTGCACAGCATTGCTTTTGTCCCTCATGCTTTAGGGTGTCTCGTGGTGGTACCATCTCATTCCAAGGGGTTTCCATTTCCAAAGCAAATCTGTACAAGGCATGTAATAATGAGGAAAATGAAGAATCGGTAAGCTCTGTCATTTTGTCCGCAGATAAATCTATTCTATAAATTAGTTTTCTGACTCTTATGCTAATGCTACTGCAGTGGGTTCAATGTAATAAATGTGAACAATGGCAACACCAGATATGTGGTCTCTACAATAAGAAACAAGATTTGGAAGGAAAAGCAGAGTATATTTGTCTAAAATGCCGTTTAGAAGAAATAGAAATTAGACCGCAGATGCCCTCATCAAAGACTGCAGCATTTGGAGCAAAAAATCTGCAAAAGACTAGGCTTAGTGATCACATTGAACGAAGGCTCTTTAGGCGTCTCAAGCAAGAGAGAGAAGAGAGGGCAAAGGCTTTAGGGAAGAACTTTGGTGAGGTAAGAAGCAAACACTGTTTAATGAGTTGGAATTTTAAATGGCTTTAATCATCAAAACATATTTAATCAAAATTATATATTTAGATAAAAGAAAATTAATAATAATCCAGTTGGTGATGAATATATATTACTCAAATACTTCTGATTGATCCATAAAACTCTAGACTGAAGGATATAAAACATAAATTGTTGAAGTAGGATCAAATTACACCTGGTGTAAAACAACATTGTTTTACATCATATTTGTCCAAGCCCACCATTGGATTGCATACTCTTCCCATGCTTGCCACGCTAACCATTTGGCTGGTTGGAGACTCAAGAGTTTTTACATTTAGAGAATTTTCAAATAAGGTTTATTTATTTTAGTTAAGAATGAGATGGCTAAAGAAATGAGATCACATGTTATTCATGATGGAGGTACCCAATTTAATGATAGGCCTGGACAAATTAAGAATCCTGCATAAAGTTGAGTGGAATAAAAATTGTTATATTATTCTACAGGTGGAACTTGATCATACCTTCTGTAACTAATATTATATGGGATTCAACACATTTGACAATCACTACATAATATGCATTTTTATGTCAACCAATACACTTATATTTAAAGGTACTTATTTTCTGTAATTGCATGCTACTTATCCACTTTCTTTTGTTCTTTGTATCCAACATTTTTTTTCTTTTATTGTATATGAATAGCTCATACCATGTATGCTGCTTCTTTTCTTCCTTTTTGGTCTTAATAAGAGAATATTGAAATCTACTTCAGCTGCTTGATATTTCATGTATAAGTTTTGACCTGTTATTAGGTACCTGAAGCAGCTGATCTCGTTGTCAGAGTGGTGTTATCTGTCAAAAAACAATTGAAAGTGAAACAGCAATTTTTAGATATCTTCCAAGACGAGAATTATCCTTCAGAATTCCCATACAGATCAAAGGTGAGACAAATTTAAGTGATCCATAAATTTTTTTCGCTTTACTTAATCTTTCTTAGGGCAACTTACTGAAGATCATTTGAGATTCTGAAAGTACCAAGAAGCTCTCTTTAGGTTGATTAATATCATTGATCTTGTCTTAAATACCTGAAAGAATAATAAACTCTATTGAGGTTTTGGATTGACTTCTTGTTTTCACCGCTGACCGCTCCCTGTTATTAATCTTCAGTTTATTATTTTCTTGTTCTTTTCACTCTTTCAATGGACTTTACTATTATAAGGGCCAATACAATCAGTTTTTCATCATTTGAAAATTAAAGGATTGAAGTGAGTGTGTGTTGATGTATAGCCACGTGGGAGGTCATGTTATTTCAAATGCTCTAAGAAATGTCTGTTATTTTCCTGAAATATTCTTTTTTGTGGCTTTACCCATGTTTTGGCACCGCTGTTAACTATTTTTGTGGTTTTCCCAATCAGGTGATTCTTTTGTTTCAGAAAATTCAAGGTGTAGATGTATGCCTTTTCGTAATGTATGTTCAAGAGTTTGGTTCAGAATGCTGTCCACCAAATCAACGTTGTGTTTATATATCGTATCTTGATTCTGTCAAGTACTTCATACCAGAGATAGATACTGTTAATGGCGATGCTCTTCGTACCTTCGTTTACCATGAAATTTTGGTAAATACCTTTTTTTATCATAAATTGGATTAAAGAGCTTCTAAAGTTTCTATTTTTTTGATAGGAATATTTAAAATTTTTAATTCACACGTGTAAATAACAAGATTTGCTTCGTTTTTTTTTTTTTTTTTTCCCTGTATCATTATCAGATGGGATACCTAGAGTATTGCAAGAAACGAGGTTTTTCAACCTGCTATATATGGGCCTGCCCACCTTTAAAAGGAGAAGATTATATTTTATATTGCCATCCAGAGACACAGAGAACACCAAAAGCTGATAAGCTGCGGCGGTGGTAATTCCCTCTCTCTCTCTCTCTCTCTCTCTCTCTCTGTGTGTGTGTGTTTGTCTGTCTGTTCTGTCTGTGTGTTTGTGACTCACATCGACATATATATGATTGCATGAGTGCAATTAAGATATGTGCTAACTGGTAGCATTTCTTGTGCATCTTGTTCTTGAGGATTATTAAACTTGTACCGAGATCAGCCTTTTGGGTTAGGTGGCTGTTTCCATATGTGGTCATCACACACCAAAGCATTGCCTGAATAGTGAATAGTCCATTACATATGTTGATCTAGGTAGTTTGTGCTCAGATTCTGTGTCTGCAGCTTTTGCCTGTGTGCATGTCTTGACTGGAAGATGTTCCACTTGCAGGTACAAGTCAATGCTAAAAAAAGCAGCCAATGAGAACATTGTGGTGGATACCAGTAATTTATATGATGAATTCTTTATTTCTACTGGAGAAAGCCAAACCAAGATAACTGCAGCTCGTTTACCATATTTTGATGGTGACTATTGGTCAACTGCTGCTGAAAATGTGATTAGAAATATTGAGGAAGAAAGTGGAGGAGATTTACAAAGGAAGGTGAAAAAACTAACGACACAGAGAAATTTAAAAGCCATGGGGCATACCTCCAATCCTTCTGGTGATGCAGTGAAAGATATTCTACTGATGCATAAAGTAAATTTCTGCTCGACATTTTCCTTCTTTATTCATATAATGTTTACAGATGTCACTGATTTGTGTTATTTAGGGCTCTGATTAATTCTTCTTGTGCTATAGGGTGACATACTGTGCTAGGCTTTTAGTATATATCTTCGGAACTTCTATGGCTAGACAATGGCAACCAAATTTTAATAACAGTGATTACTTAATTTGGCCATTCAAGTGCCCCAAAGGTGTCAAATCAGGGCTCATAAAGTGTCCATGCAGTGGCCAAAAAGTTTGGAACAACTCTGGGTTGGATTAAATAAAGCTTACCAAGGTCTTAAGCATGGCCGGAATGGGTTCCCCCAAATATAATCTAGAAACCACCTTAGTGGCCTAAAAAATAATCCATGCCCCCGAGAAAAAAATATGGAACTGAAATAAGTTAGTTTCCCGTGTCACAGGTAAAGTTTCTCCAAAAAAAAAAAAAGGGAAAAAAAAGAAGACGACATTTCTCCCTATTATACATTGTGAGCAAATAGAACGAAAATTTTCCATTAAATATTAGAGGCTCTCTCTCTGCATGGGAGACTGGATCTTCAACAATGTCAAATTAAAGCAAAGACCAACTAAATAGACAGGATTAGCTGAAACTGCTTATCAAATAAGATTATTTATTTATTTCTATTTTTGATTTCATGTTTGGACTGCTTGCTGATAGATGACGTGTTGCGTGATTCTAAATAGCGATTAGAGTTCCTTTAAGCAGAAACTTCCCTCATTATAGACCACATAATTAACGAATTCTTTGCTTTCTCAAAAAAATAGAAAGTTACCTGTATAAATTAGCATAGGTTTATTTATTTATCTTTTCATGTGTTTGATCCTTCTCCCTCCACAACTTGTAAAGGATAACATGCCTCCTTCAAATGACATAGCAAGCTCCAAAAGAGTTTAATTAAAAAATTGTTTTATGCTCTTAGTTCAAAGGTTACCACCAGGCTAATAGGTCAGGTGGTATCTAAATTGGACTCCAACCTACGTGTCAAAGGTTCAAGTTTCTGTGTTGTCTTGAAAGAAAGAAGGTACCGAAGACACGATGTCATGCCCATTCTTGTAGTCACTTGGTTATGACTTCTTCTTAGTACCTAATACAGGCAAGGGATCCGGTGGATGCCTAATGGACACATTGATTTGCTACAGTTAAAAAAACTTTACCTGATACTGATAGCCTATCTAGCATCTTCAGTTTCATGTAATTGGTATAGCTTAATTTGAAATTTTTGTTCAACTAAATTTGGACCATGCTTGCATTTGTCAAAAAATTCTAAATCATCAAAGAATGATGATAAACTGAAATCTCTCCCTTATCTTGCGTGGTACCCTATGATATGTGAAACTTCAAAATTTGTACTAGTACTTGTGGGCCACAACTTGATATGGGACTATAAAGATATGGGATATGTATTTGATGCATCTAGAAACACATCATTTTGCATTATATCAAAAGCTATTGCTTTTCTTTTTATTTGATGAGATTTTAACAGTTTGTTATTGCTGCTGTTCTTTTTCCCTTGATAGCTGGGGCAAACCATCTTACCCCGGAAGGAAGACTTTATAATGGTCTACTTGCAATACACTTGCACGTGCTGCCATGAAGTGATACTAACTGGAAGCAGATGGATTTGCAATCAATGCAAAAATGTTCAGGCTGTTCAGCTATGTGAAAGGTAATTGCTGTGGTAAAGTCATGTTTTATTCTTCATCTTTTTCCCCTTTTGTTCTTCATCCTTACTAGAGATATACATCTTTCATTTGCTATGGAGTATGCCCTTATAATCTGGTTATTGTTAAATACTTAAATGCCTGTTATCAGTTTGTTAAGTTTGTTTTCCCTCCTGCCATCTCTTATATTTTTATTTTTATTTTTCCCCATTAAGTTCATCCCTTCTTTTTTCTTCTCAACTATTACATTTCTTGTAATAAATATCCAATTGAGTCTTTCTTACAGCCTTCCTTTAATTGCAAGCTTTGGTAGTTCTCAAAAGTCACTTCATCCTACGATTTAATATGATATATGAAGAAGTCAATGAGGAATAGGAAATTAGGAATTAGATCTTAAGTGGCCTCTTTGACATTCTCTTTTGGCTAACAAAGGTGTTACAAATCCATTTATTGTTGAGTCAAATTTCTATGGCTTTGACTCGTTTTTTAATATGATGTGCATCAGGTAGGTATAGGAAGGGTTCAATATGTAGGTATAGGAAAGGTTGATTATGAAACGTGGCTTAGGTCAGCTAAATGAATCCTACTTTTCCATTCCTGCTCTAATGCCATTACCTCAATCGGACTATTTATTGACTTCATGAAGTGTATTAACTGAGTCATCTTATAATACTTTATTTTTTATTCATCTCACCCTTTCATATATGCTTCAGTTGCCATGATTTTGAGAAAAATGTCAGTGACAATGTATTACAGTAGTCATCTTATAATATTTTTTTCTTTATTCATCCTTTCATATATGCTGCAGATGCCATGCTGTCAAGCAAAATGTCAATGAGGATGGAACGCACACTTCCCAGAGCGGGGGAAGACACTTACTCTCTCAGGTGAATCCCAAACACCAAAATTTCCAATCACCACCAATTGTCTTTATAAGAAGCAGGAATAATTTCTTTAGCACATGCTTTAATTTATAATAACTTTCAGTACCTGTTCATGTTTAAATTTTCTTCCTTATGCATATTGTTTCTTATACTTTTCAGGTGGTGGTGGATGATGTGTCTGCTGATACTGAAGACAATGACTTATCTTTCGATAATGATTTCTTTGAGATTAGGCATACATTCTTAAACTTCTGTCGGGAGAACAATTATCAGTTTGATACACTTCGTCATGCTAAGCATTCTTCACTGATGATCCTGTATCATCTCCGGAATCTGATAGCACCAAGTTCTGGGACCAACTGCAGCATTTGCCATAAGGATATTATGGTAAACCAGGGCTGGCATTGTGAGACATGTCCAGAGTTTGATGTTTGTGCTGCATGCTATCAAACAAAAAATGGTGAGTGTCGTGTTCATCATAAGTTAACTAGGCGTTCTGCTGCTGCTAATTGTGAGTCAAACAGTAACCAGACTCAGCCTCAGCAAGTAAAGGTATGGAGAAAATCTCTTATAAGCTTAATTATAATATTTAGATCCCACATGTCCAATATCTGATTCTTTTCACATTCAAACCGAGAGACATGGGTCATTATTTCTAAATTAAATATTAAAGCAATAAAGTGTTTTAGAAGCAAATTGGGTGTTCTACTTTTATTTGCAATTTTATTTGCCAGAGGTATTTAACCAATTATAGAGGAATGTATTTCCAAAGATCTATTCCTTGATCGCAACACTAACCAATACGGCAAGGACGTAGTCGTCCTTTTGGTTGACCAAGAAATGGAACTAGCTTGGAAACATTTTCAAAACACAATAATTATTGCAAAATTAAATTCGAAATGCTTGGAATATAAAGTAAAATTATATGAGTTATATAAGTGAAATAATTTAATACAAGGCCTGCTCGTCCATCTAAATGAGAGGAAAGTAGGAAACAAGGGTGGAATTGATTAGTAAATGCAAAAATATAAATAAATCATCAAATAATATAAACAGTACTTTACTGGTGAAAAACAAGCATAAATGATTTTAAAACTAATTTTGGCATGTAATAGTGAATCATTATAATCACATATGACACTTCCTTTTTGTTGGCTGTTGAGATAGTGTTGACATGGGGAAATTTTTTAACTGTTTCATTATTTAAACCATTCTTTTGTATGTTTCCAAGTAGGCAAATTTTCATAGAAACATGTCAATTTTGGATTTCCACTCGTGTTTCTCTTCATACATTAGGCTGTTTCTGTAGAAACAAAGTATAATTTGATCCTTTCTTAGTTTAATGTAATATGTTGTTTATTGATGTTTGCAATTGGCTTGTTAAGAATTTTTATAAGCATTTCTTGGCCAATATTTGCTCACACCCTGCCTGATGAGTATCATCGTGCGTATTTTGAACTTTTATGTAATTTGGTGGTGCAGTTGAATGAATTAGTGGATGTTCTTCCACATGCCTTTCAATGCCGTGCAACCCAAAGCAATCCATGTTCCTACCCGATGTGCCTTCAAATCAAAAGACGCTTAATGCATGCACGTCAATGCAGCAGTCTTTCTTTGGGTCGTGGGCATTGTAAACTATGCCATTCAACCAGGATGATACTGAAGTCCCACTCAAAAATTTGTAAAGATTCAGATTGCAGAATACCGAGTTGCAGGTGCGTTACACTGACAGCTCCATATTTCTTGATTTCAATTATTAATTTCTAATGGAATTAGTATTAATAATGCCTGCCGAAATCCTAACGAGCATTGTGTATTTTGAACATGCAGGGCTGCGAAGAGTAGGTTAGAAAAGGTCTAATTTCAGTCTAAAACTCGGCGAAGGGCTGCTGCTACGGGTCATGAAGCACCCGAGGTTGCTGGAAACAGTTGATTGTTTGAGTGTATAGTAATACCGAGGTTACTGAAACAGTTGATTGTCCAAGTGTATGGTAATAGATGGATCATCAACGACAACACCCGAGGTTGCTGGAAACAGTTGATTGTCCGAGTATAAAGTTATAGATGGATCGTCAACGACAGCAGCCGCTTATACTGATCAATACCATTCAAAGTAGTAATATTTGAATATACTGACTTGTTTCTTTTGATGGTTGTATAGATTACTTCACTGCACTGTGCAGTGAGTTCATTCAAACAGTGTCTCATTTGTAACTCCAGAATAGTAATCATGTGAATAAAAGGGGATGCCATTTATGAATAAAAATATCCGGTGATCGATTTTTACCTTCTAGACATGAAATCAGTGTGTGTGTGTGTGTGTGTGTGTGTGTTTTTTTTTTTTTCTTCTCCTCTCTCTACTGATAATTTGATTGTACCTTAACCAATTAAGCTTTTAGTGAAATTCAATCTCTTAAATTCCCTTGGTTGGGATTGGCGACGATCATAAGACCTTAATGGCTGAACTGGTAGCTTTGGTATTGTGGCCTAATGGAACATTTGGTTTGTATACTGTCAGCTTATAGTTTGTTTTTAACAAGTCTATTATTGGCTCAAGATGTAATATTTTTCAAACAGTTGAGTCTGATCTGATTTTGTTACTAGGTGATATGGGCTGTTTGTTGGGTTAATCACAATATGTCGTGGAACTTCGGCTTTATTTTAACATTTTAGTTGCACGTAATTGTGATTGGTTAAGGTATGGTTCTGAACTATTTAATAATTTTTCGTACTATATTGAGTGTTCAAATATCTTTTGAATTTCAACATCGATAGAATATAAGGAAAAGAAGAACACTATTATATAATATTCAATTCTTTTTTGTATTCAAATATACAAATGCTTTTTCAATGTTTTATATCAACAAATAATATTTATTATTGGTATCATTTTCAGAAAACAGTTATCATGTCCAAAGAAATTGAAAATGAAATTAATAATTTAAATTAAAATAATAGTCCACCTAGCACATCTTTTTTCTTAGGGAAAGCCAAATAATGCAATTTCATTTCAATTTACTTGAAATTGTAATTATATAATTTGAACGCATGGATGAATACTTCAGGAACATTTTTGTAGTAAAAAAAAAAACTAATAGGTGTAAATGCTTTCAAGTAAATTGAAAAATAAAAGATAGAAAATGAGGAGGGCTTTGATGTCTTGATGAGTTTGATCAAACCATGCCCTCAATCTCTCTCTCTAAGATCGCATTTTTCTTTGCATCTCTCTTTTCATATCGCATCACTGTTCGCAAATTAATCCAAAAAACCAATGAACAAAATACTAAAATAGTGGAACACTAGGCAAATCCAAAATCGACAATTTTGGGGGCATGGTTCTCATAAAAATAAAAATAAAAATTGCTAGTTTTAATATCTTTTGTATTATTCTTATTAAGATGTTTTTATAATAATGTTAAATTTCAAAAATCAATTGAGAATTTGAATCTTATTCTTATTTTAATGGGGTACAATTTTGAATAGATCGAGTCGGATACCTTTGCTAAATAGGAGTGATTATGAAATTGAAGTCTAGCTATCGTCTTCAGCTAAAATTTAAAATTGAGATTTACAAATCCTTAACACGTCTACTTCACTTGAGTTGCAATCCAATCTATAGAACATTGAGAATAAATACTAACATCTCGTATGTGTGTGTATTATCAAAATCTCGTGCATAAATTTGAACTACTCTTTACAAACTATATTAGAAAGAACAAAAATAATCCCAAAGAGTTTTGTTTTTCTCACTGTGAGTTGAAAAAATAAATAAATAATTTTGTTCACTAAACAAAGCTATCAAGTATCAACATACTTTAAGCATGTATGAAAAACACGAAGATAGAGTTTAAAATAAAATAAAATAAAATAAAATAATGTAATGAACATACGAATTTAATGATAATTAAATCTCATGACAATGAGTTATCCATTCGAATTTGTTTTTTATTAAACCTCCTCACTATTATTAATTATAAGTTCTCTACGACTAAGCTTTTAAATTAAGGTAATTAAAATTGGTTTCACAATCAATACCTCTCAAAATAAATAGTGAGGGATTAAATATCAACAAGGGCAAATAGGGAGATGACCTATATGTTCACTTCTTTTCACAGTAGCAATGAGAGTTCGATTTCCAACCTTCGCACCTACTAACTTATCATCTAACTATTCTTATCATGGATATATATATATATATATATATATATATATATATATATATATATATTGACCTCTTTCCTCAGATGCTTTTCTCCTCACTGGACTCCTAGAGACTGCAATTGGGTGGCCCACGTCATTAGCAAACGGGCCCTCCAAATTGATTTGCAGTGCTAAACCTGGCCCTGCTGGCTTGTCCAATCTGTAATTGTTTAGGCCTCTGGTCTTGTTCCTTTTGATTCATATTTCTGTGCTCATTCTGTGAAAAATGAAATGGGTATGTGAGAGTCCTTTAGTTTTTTGTTTTTTTTTTTTTTTCTAATGACTTTCTCTCAATATTAGTTAGACATATCCACTTGCGTTTGGACAATAAAAAATAAAATAAAAAAATCTAATCCGACAGTAGGAGAAAAGTTGAAAGAAATGATTTATTTTTATTTTTTATATTAGTTTTAATTAAAATCCTTTTGAGAACATTCATAAATATGGTACTATAGTAGATGATTTGAATTTCTTAGGTGCAAGAGTCGACTTGGGATTAGATAACATTGTTCTGGTTAATAAATTATGTAAGAATGGTTTGTCAATTATCATGGAGATAGTTTATACCATCAAAAGGTCAAAAAAAAAATGATAATAAATAAAAATCAAAAAATTTTTACAACCGTTTTGACTTGAAAAGAACCATGTACAAGTATAATAGAACAAACATCAATACACTCTAATTTTGCTAGCGATGTATATTGTTTTATGATCAAATTTCATTGTTTACATAAATGAAGTTTATGTATGTTGTTTTACGATTAAGTTTCATCAATACACACTAATTTTATTAGAGATGGTGGTCTCGCGATTCCTAGTGGGGTGTTACGGCGGAGGCTATAATGATCAGCTCTGGTTATTTGTGAGATAGTGCTCTACTCCATCAAGAGAAAAAGGAAAAAAAGAAATCCATCGAGTTAGACTCAACTAGTTTGAAATTTAACATTTAAATTTAAGTTTTGGGCGCGATTATTACTATTTTGGACTTTAAATAATTTACTTGCCATTGCATTTGAGAGCATGAAAGTGGAGATGAGGATTTTGAATTGGAGAAAATGATTTTCTACTTTACTCCAATTCATCTCCAAAACACTAATTCCATAGTATTAAAATGTGCCTGAGATGGATCCTACCAGAGAAGCTGTTGAGGCATTAGCATCAAATGTGTAGTTTGTATTAGGTTACAAATGAACTGAGATATTCATAATTCGGATTTCACTCTTTGAACCTAAATTTTAAGTCGGTCATTCAGAAGCTCATTTATTGACAAGGATTTTAGCCTAGCGAAAATATATATATATATGGCTTCTTTATTTTATTATTATTATTATCGGTTTTGTTCAAAATGGGCTTTTTTATTTTATTACCCTTCCATAATATAGCCCATATCGAACCAAACTGGACTCAGTCCGTAAGGGCTTGTCAATACAAACTTTTGTAGACTGGCTTTTATAAAATTGTACATGCACATTGTTGGTTCTCAAATCATTTTTTAAGAGACTCTACTTACAAGTAAACTTGATAAGTAAATTAATTAAAAATGTTTCATTGATAATTTTTTAAACACGAATTCAACCCAAGTCTATTTCGTAATTTAATTTTTAAAATGTCACAATTTGGATGTGAGCCCGAGATAAGCCCATATACGAGCGAGATCGAAAGAGAGATTTGGCAAACCAACTTCAAGCAAGAATGAAGAGAATAAAGATCTGAATATAACTGGAATATTATTAGATACACTTCTGCTAACAAAGGTTCTCTCCCCTACTATCACGGGGCATTTCATAAACAATAGAACCTGAAATTTGAATACAAAGAGAGTGAAGTGGTATTGTACATGTAGAGAGGGGTATGGACAAAACTATCCTAAATGTATGTGTGTTTTCTGTATCCACCTCCAATGGCGTCAATCTCTTCTCCTATCATTTTTACTCTCTCCACGAGCGTCCTCTCTTGAAATGCCAGTCATCATCACTACTCGAACCATAACCTACAGCACCAAAACCACTACTCTTCCTGTGATGATGATGACGACATCTTCGTGATAGACGGCATTTTTAGTTGCCCTGTGATGATCCGACAAGAGCTTTCGTTTCTTGGAGACCAAAGCTTCTTCCTTTGCAAAGCTGAAGTTGGAGAAGACTCTAACCGTCTGTTGCTCTAGGTGGTCTGCTCTTCCTATTCTGGCACTTGATTTGGGTGGTGTTGCCGATGGTGGTGGTCTGGCGTTTCCTAGTGAGGTGTTACGGCGGCGGCTGTGATAATCAGCTCCAATTGTTTGTGAGATAGTGCTCTACAGCATCAAGAGAAAAAATGAAAAAAGAAATCAATCAACTATTTTGAAATTTAACATTTATATTTAAGTTCCGGGCGCGATATACATATTATTACTATTTTGGACTTTAAACAATTTACTTGCCATTGCATTTGAAAACATAAAAGTGGAAATGAAGATTTCGAATTGGAGAAAAACGATTTTCTACTTTACTCCAATTCATCTTCAAAACACCAATTCCGTAGTATTAAAATTTGAAATATTTTTATTCGTAATGAAAAGACAATTATATATCAGCGAACAACGAAACTACCCATGGAACTGTTGGCACCAAAACTTGGCAGCCACTTCAGCAGCGACGTGGACCAATGGGAAGCCGATAAGGGTTGAGCATGTCCAAGAATGGATCGGCCAGTTTGAAGATATTAGGAGCAAATATAGAAAGATATATTTCAGCCATCTAATGATATGGCAGTTGCTGAAATATAGCAACTCACATTTGACTTTTTTCAAAATGGGATGTTAACAGAAAAGGAAAAGGCTAGAGTTTGGATGAAACTCAATAACTAAATTCCTATAAAATAGAAAGTTTAGTTTGATGAAAGAAGGAAAGCTTTGAAGACATGGCGCTAAAGGATGGGCCACTTGGGATAGAACACGGCTGCCAAGTTTATAAAAGGAAGTTGCTAGAACTTAGCAACTTTTCAGCAACTTTCTAGCAACGTTTTAGCAATATCTCGGCAACTTACATGTGATTAAATCGAGGAAGGTTGTTTTTACAGAGATTTCCTACTGAAACAAAACAAGAAAGGAAGCAGAATAACGATA